TGTCTGCATAAAATATGCAGGAGATGGGAAGTAAAACATTCAGTTGATACTTTAAAATTAAACTAAATTTTGTCACCAAGTAATAAATTCGGCTACATCAACACACTATGCATCAATTAGGCAATCATGCAGCCAGAACATTTACAATTTGATTGCCTAGGATTGTTAAAATCAGTGAAGAGAGTAGTTTAATCATTAGAATATGGATACGTATTCAAAATCAGTGAAACATATTTCTTAAAAGGTGGCTGTAACGCCATCGTGGTTTCTTTTCTTCTACAGCCAGCCCCTTAAGCACCTCCCTCTGGTCTGCTTAGTGTTTGTTCCTCATCACCAGCCTTCCTTTTTAAAATTCAGACTCTTACTGGCATTCCCAGTAAATGGATTGGTGAAAAAGCATTGGAATATGGATCAGAAACCCCCACTTCTGACCTCAGTCATCATCAGAATTATCTTTTTGAGAAGGTTGAGAAGGCACCACTCCCTATTTTGGGGGAGCTGTCAGTTACCCTATAAATCTACACTTCCTCCTCCCAGTGCCTGGCATTCTACAAGAGACTTTCATCTTTCATTCCTTTAATATAGACTTTTATCACCTGAATTTGCATGGGTCTCCTATTCTGTATTGTAGGACAAGAGAACTCTTCACATATGGTTTGATGGGAGTACATGAAAAGGGTGAAGAAAGTTGAGGAATTGTTTGTTTGGGTTTGTTTTTTTTTTTTAAGATTTATTTATACAAGCACTGGGTACAGTCAGAAGCGCGGGAGGGTGAGCGAATTCACCAGAGCCAGAGTGGGAAACAGAACAGGCAGACTGACAAAGTACACTGCTGAGGGGAGCAGCGGGCATGGCAGGATAGGTCTGTCACACCATGTGGGACCCTCGCCGGTAGCCGGGGATCAAACGGGTGCTGCAGAGGTGGTGGGCAGCTTTGCAACCCAGCACTCAACCACTGCACCACCAGGGGAGGCCCAAAAATTGAGCAATTGAATGTCATTCTCCTCCCATGGGAGCTTGGTCTATTCTGCTGTAATGAATATGTTGTAACATTAGCTGAAGCAATTTTTATTATTATGTTTATACAGGTATGTGCTCTCAGGAGATAGAGCAGTCCTGGGACAGGCTGCCTGGGATCTGCTGTAGCTGCAATGCAAGAATGTAGGGCAGAGAAAAAGTGTAATAACTGTATGGGGAAAGAACACCAGGAGTCCCTCAAGGGAAGTATGAGAACAGATTTTTTTAATGTAATTAATTAATTAATTATTTTAACTGAGGTAATATTGGAGAAGCTTGCATAAATCATTGGTTGTAGCTTGTATAAATCATTTAATCTTGGTTGTAGCTTGTATGAATCATTTAGTCCTTGTTTTAGCTGAATAATATTCCACTGTATGGATGTACTGCATTTGCTTATCCATTTATCAGGTTAGTGGACATTTGGGTTGTTCCCGTTTTTTGACTATAATACCCACTGGGTATCACCAGTACAGTGCACCCACCGCCAACTCACCCATACTCCACTTCCACAGACCATTGTGCTTCTTCCCTCTTTGTCCTCTCCCCTCCCACACCCTTTCCCCTTGGTGTTTCTGTAGGCAACTATCAAGGGTTAGTTTCTTAGCTTGCCTTTTTTTTTAACTTTTATTTTATTTTATGTATTTTTTACATCGTTTTTCATTTTTGCACAATGTATGCATTTTCATCTTGGTTATAGTCCCCATGCAATTCCCACCCCCCTTGTTTTATTTTGATCCTACTCCCTTCCCCCTCCCAGCCCCCTGGAGTGTGTCTCTGGTTTATAGTTGCTTGTTGATTTTGACTTTTACTTGTCTTTTATCTGGGCTGCGAAGCTGCCCGCAGCCTCTGCAGTGCTGGCTAAATCCCCGGCCAACTGCGAGGGTCCCATATGGCGCGCAGACCTCTCCTGCCGCACCTGCTGCTCCCCTCAGCAGTGTACTTCGTCAGTCTGCCTGTTCTGTTCCCCACTGTGTCTCTGGTGAATTCGCTCACCCTCCTGCACTTCTGACTGTACCCCATGCTCGTATAAATAAATAAATAAATAAATAAATAAATAAATAAATAAATAAATAAATAAATAAATAAATCTTTAAAAAAAAAAAAAAGCATACCATACACTCAACACAATTCTAAATAAATGTTTTCTTGTACTAACTCTTGCATAAACTTAAAAAAAAATTCACTAGCATTGATTCTTTTAATTCTTATATGTCTATGAAGTTGATTGTCATTATCCCACTAACAAGTGAAGAACTGAGGTTCAGAGATAGGTGGGAACTGAAAGACGTGGTATCCACACCTGGCCTTCTCTTCCCAAGTCTGTATCATTTACCATCTTGCTGATGTTTACTCTGTGGCCCACATGGAAGATGGATAAAGTGCCTGAGTCATTTAGGCCGAAGTACATTCAGGTTGACTGGGAATGAAATGACTGAATTAGATACATGAAACACTTCCACTGCCTGAATTCTCCTGAACATTTTTCTGGCTCATGTAGGCACAGCTTGTTTATTCCCAGCTGTTTTCTTCCTTTTTTCAAGCACTGGTTTCATGTTGTCTGCATTGTTGTGTGGTACCAGAGCATTTATAGAATTCAGCAGTCATTTCCAAATTCAGAGTACTTTTCATTTATTGAACAATGTGTCTTTAATTGCTGGCCAAGTTAAATTGTTTTCAAAAGTAGTACTACTTACTGCCAGCTATGCCCCACAATAATGGACAAAAATAGTTTATTTTCTTTTGTATTTTATTTCTTGGTAATTCAAGACTGCTTTCTCAGAGAGGGGACTATATAGCTTCCATGACACTTAGTGCTTCAAATAGATGAGTTAATTTTCAGTCTGGAAAGCAGCCAAATTTCTAAATTGACATGTTCACTGAATAATAAATTTAATGTAAGAGAACGATGCCAGGCACAAGAGGATTTGATAAAAGGGCATTTGAACTCTACAAATGATATAAAATATTTCCCTTCTTAAGAAACTTTAATACATTGTTAAATCAAAGACTGTGAAAGATCTTGGGCTTGATTCAGCCTCTACTATACATTTCAGTGAATAGATTATTCCGACACTATGACAGCAGTAGGCTAAACATTAGTTCCACGTGAACTATTTCCAGTGGCTGAGTACCCCCAGCCCCCACGTGAAATATCCTACAAACCTCCAGCGAGTCTCTGAGTTCTGGCCTGCTTGGACTGCTGAACCCTCTCTGTAATTCAGAATCTGGGACTCACTGCTTGACAGGTGTCCGATGTCTCCATCCTAACTAGGTTTGGATCAGACATGCACTTGATTTTTTTCTCTGACATTCAGGACACAAGACAGATGCTTTCAGTAGAGTTTCAGTGCTTTCATTCTGCTTGCATAGATCAAATGCATCCTCTTAGCACTCTAGAACTGTTTAAAACCTTGCAAGTCACCTTCAAACAACTATAGGGTGTAGATCCTGTATTAGGAAATAGCACGTTCTTTATTTTTCCTTCCCAAATACACTTTCTTTTTTTTTTTAAGATTTGTTTATTTATGCATAAAAAAACTAGGGTACAGGACAAAGGTGTGGGGGGTGAGAGGAGTCACCAGAGACAGTGGGAAACAGAGCAGGCGGATCTACTGAAATACACTGCTGAGGGGAGCAGCAGATTCAAGTCAGAGAGGTCTGCACCATGTGGGTCACCTCCCTGGCCAGGGATCAAACTCATGGTGCAGTGGCTGTGGATAGCTTCATAGTGCTGTGTCTAATTCTTTGCACCACCAGGGTGGCCCCCCAAATACACTTTCTTTAGAAACAAAACAAATCTCAATTTTAAAAAACTTTCAGGAAAAAAGTTTTCAGAGAAAAAAAAGCTGCAGTCTCTTACTCTAATTGGTTGAGTGGAACTCCCAAATGGTTTAAACACTAGAGTCATGTTAATAATGTTACCATCTTTATGCAGATCCTATCTAAAATAGAATGTGTGCCTAACCTTTGAAAGTGAAAATATTAACTTTTCACTAAAATTCTATATACTTTTTCCACCTGTTACTATCCATAGTAAATGGTCACATTCCTAACTGGATTATTTTTCTTCCAAATAAGCAGTAACCTCAGTACATTCAGATTAAATTAATTTAGTAGATAAAGCCTCACAGATGTACTCAGAGGTGTGTTTATAAAATTTATCCTTTGACAGGGAATAGATGGTGGTGCCATTGCCTTTAAGAGATTACAAATGTATATACCACAGTAAGTTTAGGGAAATCTAGAAGGAAAATTTGGGTCACAACAACTTTGTGCATTTGAGTCTGACACACATGCCAGTGTGTGACTGTCGCAGAGCCACAGCCTCAGAGAAGCAGGACAGTAGGTATAAATAAGCTTTCCTGTACTACACTGAATAGTAAATTGAAATTATCCACAAGTGTCATCTGCCTTTGCAATAAACTAGATTCTCATTCAGGGTCCTTTCAGTTTGGTGAGGCCTTAGCTTTTCAGACAAAAAAAGGTTCATGGATTTCAAAGGGATTCTGAAGGTGAAATGAATGTGGTTTCAGGGAGCTCTGAATAAGCTTCCTGGACTACTGATGTGCCTGTGAATATTCATATTCTCACCTTCCCTGGGTGACTCATACTATTTTTCAAAAAAGTATTGCTCATTTTCTGGGAGTTTTGTAAAAAATGTTTATCACATAAATACAGGTTACACGCCCACATAAATAACTTGTGTGTGTAGGTGCACAAGTGTCAGCTTGTCAGGAGTGACCTGCTCTTGTCTTTTGTGGAGCCCCTCACATAGACTTGAGGGACAGATTTCTATATGGTGATTGAGGGGCTCTTTTCTTTCTCTGGTCCCAGAGGAAGACTTTTCAAGGCTATTCACTGAGAGTCAGGTCAAGTCCTAAAGAAGATGACGTTGGGATTGGTTAGCAAACTGCAAGTGGCGTGCAGGGGTCCATCCATTTTTCATAAGTTGTAATTAACACACTGTCTGCCTCCCACAGGTTCAACCTTTGGGAATGAAGACCAGCCGTCTCTGAAGGCAGCTCTGCCTTCCAAAGATACACCTAAGGTTTCCAACCGGGTGGCCCCTCCAGCATCCTCCAGCACAACAGCACCCCGCAGGAGTTTGCTTCCAGCTCCAAAGTCCATGTCCACACCTGCTGGTAAGACTTCCTGACTTGGAGAACCTCCAAAATGCAGTGCCTTCTCTACATTAAAATGTCTTTTGAAAGTCCCTGAGAACATCAGTTATTTAGATAGGATAATAGATGAGTTTCAAATAACATTTAAAATTAATAATGGGCCTCCCCTGGTGGCACAGGCAGTTGAATGCTGCGCTGTGAAGCTGTCTGCAGTCTCTGCAGCGCCGGTTCAATCCCGGCCGGCAGGTGAGGGTCCCACATGGTGCACAGGCCTCTCCTGTCTCATCTGCTGCTCCCCTCAGCAGTGTATTTCGTCAGTCTGCCTGTTCTGTTCCCCGCTCTGTCTCTGGTGAATTCTCTCACCCTCCCGCACATCTGGCCTGTACTCCAGTTTGTATAAATAAATAAATCTTTAAAAATAAATAAAATTAATAATAAAATCACTATTTTCAAGGCATGTTTATATAGCCATATGTTTATATTCTCACAACTGCTTCTCACTCCCTTCACTTGAATTACCAGTTTCAATTGCAAAAAAAAATCAAGCTATTCTAGGCAGATTGGCATTTGACTCAGAGAAGCATGTGCTGAGGAAATCATCGGAAGGACTTTAGGAACAAGCTCCCGGCTGCATCTCCAGCAATGAGCCCCAGAACCCCAGAGGAAACTGCTTCTTCAGCAACAATTGGGAGTCTTTTCCTGCTGCTAGCTCTAGGCTCACACCACCGAAGCTGGGGTCTCAGGATCAGCAGCTATTGTAGAAGGGCTGGCTGCAGAGCCAACCGTGCTACCTCAATCCAGGCCAGGAAAACAGATACCCTGAGCCTGTACACCCATGAAACTAGTAATGGATTCAGGGAACTCAGCTATGCCCACGCAGCCCACTTGTGGGCCTGTCCTACTTTCTCCTCCCATAGCTCATAAAATGGCATCTGTTTGTCTGCAGCAATGTCCAAGCATGCAGCTCTTAGCCCTCTACCCCCTGCATTATAAGAAGGTATACTAAGAAGGAGGGAGAATGGATGTTGAACTCTTATCCACAGTGGATGGCTCACCCATATTCATTCTTCCATATATTTCATCTATGCTCATATAATCATATGCCAACATATATACACATGCACACATACGGGCTTATGCGAGTTACTAAGAATGAGACTGCATCATACATTCTACATGTGGCTTTCCTTAATCAGAGTCTATCATAGAAATACCTTCCAATCAGTGACATGAGTATGGCTGCCTGGTGTGGAAATAACAGGCATTACTCACCACCACCCCCCCACCACCCCCACTGATGGACATTCACTTTGTAACTATTGATAGTATTTGCACTACAAACAATGCTGTGATCAGTAGTCTTGAGTGAGTAGCCTACTTTCCTGTGGGATTGATTCCCAGCAGGGGGATTGCTGTGGTTGACACATTAATAGATATCCTGGGTTACTTCCTAACAAGGTCACATGGTTCACATTTTCGCCCACATCCCTACTAGAAATAGGTATTGCTCCTTTTCAGAATTTTTGTCCATTTGATGAAATAAAATGCTATCTCCAAATTATTTTAATTTGCATTTCCCTAGTCACTAGACTGACTGGTACCCTTTGCTCTATGATGCAAGTGCACTTTGTAATCCCCTTTGGTTAAGACTTAAATTACTTGTTTAGTTTTGTTCTTCCATAGTGGAAGCAAGGAAAGCTCCTGGGGGCAGTGGCTGTGTTAGTTTTATTTAACACAATCTCCCTGTTGCCCTGCCACATTAGCTGACTCCCAGTGGATACCTGACATCTATTCGTTAGTGAATGAACAAATGATTAAATGATATCACATGACATTTTAAACTTTTGGTTAAGCGTTATTAGCAATTTGGCCTTGCTTTAATTAGAAAATGAGGGTCTCCATGGTGGCACAAAGGATTAAGACGTAATCTATGAAGCTATCTGTAGCTACTGCAGCACTATCTTGATCCCCAGCCAGGGAGCTACCCACCTGTGCAGCAGACCTCTCCTGACTCTCCCGCTGCTCCCCTCAGCAGTGTATTTCACTCAATCTGCCTGTTCTGTTCCCCACTCTGTCTCTGGTGAATCCTCTCACCCCCCACACCTCCGGCCTTTACCCCAGTTCTTGTATGCATAAATAAATAAATCTTTTCTAAATAAATAAATAAATAAATAAATAGAAAATGACTAGACAAGCTTACAGTGAGTTAAAATACAGCTGCTGAATCAACCGTATGGATCAGTGTTTCTCAAACTTTAGTGCATCACAACCACCTATACGTCTTATTAAAACACAGCCTACACAGACTACTCAGCCTCATCTCCTGAGTATCTCATTTACTAGGTCTCTGAGGCCTGAGAACATGCATTTGTAAGTGCTGCTGCTGCTGCTGCTGCTGCTGCTGCTGCTGCTAGTCCAGGGAACACACTTTGTGAACCGTTATGTAAAAGTGGGCTCAGAATTTGAACAGACAGTTCTTAGAAAAAGAAATTAAAATGGTACTTAGCCAGATAAAAATATAGCCAATTTCATTCATAGTAAGTAAAATGTAAAAATTGTAAAGGCAAAAAATTGAAAATGGTGAAGAGGCATTTTCATCATTCCTGGTGGGAATATAAAATAATACACCTATGAAGGTGATATCTAATAAATCTAATATCTAATAAATTGCAAATCTAGAAATTCTTGACAAAGGCAGACTCGCAAAAATACACAGGATGAGTTTTTCATTACAGCACTCTTTGAAATAGAAAAATACTGAAAGTAACTGAGATGTTCGCTCATGGGAGACTAGCTGAATGAATTGGGATGCACCAACAGGAAGATGTACCTTACAGCTGCTAGGAGAATGGGGAAATCTCTCTACACTGCTAGAAAGTGATTTCCAGGAGATATCATTAAGTGATAAAGACAAGACAAAGAAAAGCATGTATAGTAGGTTACCTTTAATATAAACATTCAGGAAATTATCTGTAGAATGAAATCTGTGTCTGCTTATATTAAGAAAAATGACAAAACTACATGGTGATGAATGGAAATGAGACTAGCATGATATAGTGTATACAAATATCAAAATATAACAGCTATATCTGAAACTTATATAATGTTGTAAACCAATGTTACATCAATGAAAATTTACTGTGAAATAGAAAAAAAAGAAATGTTTTGACTTTTTAAAAAATTATTGTCTCTTGGGGGAAAAGAAGTAATAGAATGAAGGGACTAGGAATAAAAGATAGACACTGAATGTACCTTGTCCTGAAGATTTGACTTTGAAATTCCATAAATATTTTACACAATTGTAAATTAATTAGTACTAAATTTTAAGAGGTGCTATCTAAAAATCATAAATCAAAGTAATTGTGTGACCTGTTGGTGGCATGAACACACAGAGAACTATTCCAAGTGACTATAAAACCAGTGATTTCATTGTAGCACCCTGATCGTGTACACTGTTTGTTCAAACAGAATTGCAAAAAAATCTTAAACTGCTTTCAGTAGTTATATTATTGGTGGTAGTATTGGAGTTACAATTTTCAAACGACAGTTTTTCTGAATACATGGATTAGGGTATAAATGGGATGTGGATATTATGGGATAAAGTCTGAACTCATCTGAAATTGTTCTTTAAAATTACTCATTCTGCCCAGTTATAAAGGATGATTAAACCTGATGGCCCAGACTGTGATCCTAAATGCATTTCCCATTAAAGGGAGACAGGAGTCCTTGAAGGAATAGCCAGTTGAGGGCAGGAAGCATAGATCCCAGAACCTCTTGCCATACCAGAAAGCCAAGAAGAATCCAAATATCAAAGACCTCTAAGGCTGTATCAAAAAAACGTAAGAGTCAAATTAAATACACTCTAACTGGTTTGAAAAAAGGAATAGAAAGAAAAACAAATTAGTCTGGATATTAATGATGCATAGCTGCTCAGTGGATCATCAAAATACATGTGTCTCCATGAGAGTGTAATGATGCAAAAAATAAAAGCCAGTTACTTTGGAGTGTGTTAGGAAACTACACTATTTGAAGTATGTTGAAAATGAAAGAACAACATATTTTAGCTACTTCTTTTATTCTATACCTCAAAATAACCAAATAGATGATAAGGGGAAGTTTCTCTTCACGTACACCTTAGCTAATAAATAAGATAAAGTAGCACATCATCTTTTCACAGCTTCTAATGAGTCAGTGGATGAAGCCAATGATCATCAATTGAAAGAGACAACTAGACATTATAAACTATATTGATGGAAATATATGTAACATTATCTGTGAATTAGTCTTGGGGGAAATGAATCTGGTATAGTCTCTAGATTTTGCTACTAATTTATTAGCAATACAGAGTACAGTGAAGCATATTAAATAAGCACCAGGGAAATAGAGTCAGCAAACCCAGACGCTGGGAAACTGTATTTGACAAACCTGATTTACTCAACAGTGCAACAGCAAAAATCCCAAATAGCAAGCAAACAATAAACAAACAACAAAAAAATTGGGAGGTACGAAGCAGATTAAGAGGGAGCTGATTAATTATTTATAAAACTTAGACATGTTGACCAATTACAAAGTATGGATCTTATTTGAGATCCTACTGTGGAAACAAAAAAAAAATTTACAAGATAACTAAGGGAATATGAACACTGACTACTAGATGAGTTTAGGAGTTATTGTTAACATTTTGAGTGTTACGGTAATATTTGTGTTATTTTTTTTATAGTCATAAAATTAACACGTGAACAGTCTGCTATCTAGGGTTTGCTTCAGAAAAACTCAGGATATAGTGAACAGATTCAGTGTCCTATAGAAGATAAAGCATTAGCTAAAAGTTACTGGTTGAAGTGGGGCAGTGGGTATCCTCTCAACTTTAGTGTAGAGGGGAGGGAGCACAAGATTATGTGGGTGGGCTATGGGTGACTTGGGGTGCACTATGGTGGTTATACCTGGTGGGGAGGGTCCTATGTTTCCAAACTACCAACATTAATGTAAAAATTGTTGGTCTCAAAAAAATTGTTACATAA